GGCGGAGGCGTGGAGTGTAAAGGGGTTTGGGAGGAGGCTAGCTGAGGGCCCAGTGAGGGGCCAAGTGCATTCATGGGAAGGTTAGCGCTCTGCTGCTGCTGCTGTTGGAGAGAAGGACACACACAGTGCAGGCAGACAGACATACACAGGAGAAGCAAACAAACAAAAACATCAAACACACACACCACCACACACAATTTGGGGTTTAGAGAGCACCTTGTGATTGGTATGAGAACAATTAAAGAGCAATTAGTGCATAGTATGATTGGTTAAAGTAGTTTGAGCTTAGTTTTCCCAGCAGCTAGTTGGAATTGGCACAGCTCTGCAGCATCTCTAGAAGGGACAGTATTACCAACCGCAGCCAAACCAATCAGTTCTCCATCTCTGTTTCCAACAGCTTCATGCCCCTCATCTCTCTTCATGTCTCACCTGGGTGACAGCAGCCTGGGCCTGTAGCTGACCCATGCCAGGCCCCACAGTGACATTCATAGCACCCGTTGCAGCAACTGTAGAAGATCCTGGAGGGAACTGGGTCTGAGCCAGAAACTGTCCCTGGCTGGCCGTCTGGCCCACCATGTTGCCGCCGCTGTGTCCACCCAACATGCTCTGGGCCTGCGGCATTCTGGAGGGAGACATGCCCATCTACAACGCACAAAAAGATAACTGTTCTATGAGCAGGGTGACAGGTATTCTTCATGTGCATTTACTGATCAAACAGCATGGCAAAAAACGGTCACGCTATTGACACCGATGAATTATTATGAATATTTTCCATCTGCGATAAGGCTGTATGAATATGCTCGCAATAGTGGTTAAAAAAATGTTACCAGTGTTTAATTTTTCTATGATTAAGCTGCTTCTTTTCACTTTTAAAGCACTACATGGCCTAGCACCCCCACATTTGACCGAAATAATCTCATTATCCTACACCTCGAAACCTGCGCTCTACATCCACTGCTCTTCTTGTGGTGCCACATGCTACTGTAGGTGAGTAACTGGGTGAGAGAGCATTTGCCAGGGTCTGCTCCTGGGCTCTGGAACAAGCTTCCAAACTATTGATGGTACAGCTTGAAACAGCGTATTGACACGCTATGAACCACTTGCAACATTTCTGTTTTGAAGCATCGCTTCAAAGCTTGTTTCACAGCAGCCAAGTCATGTGACTGTTTCACCACTAGGGGCTGACCCCACAGTAAATCCTAGATCATATATGTGAAACTCAGGCCTGCGGGTGTAAGTATATTTGGCCCACGAGATAATTTCAAATGTTTATTAGAGCTGGCCTGCCAGTATATATATATTGCATGCACCGCTAATACTGCAAATCCCAGAATGTTTTGCTAGCGCGCTGGCATGTCAATCAAAACCCGCAAGCACCTTCTGTTGACATTCATTAGCAACCTAATGCTACTAGGCACCTTGGGCAAATTTAATCCACCCCTCCCAAGATTTTTGTCCCACAATTTCTTTACTCACAATGATACTGTGAAACTATGCATCTCCCAAATCACTCACGTATTAAGTCTATTGTATTCAAATGTCACCATCTATTCTGTGAAGTGCCCCAGTTCCTCCTGCAGCCCCCACAACAGTCCAACCATCCTCTTCCGTGTTTCACGGTTGGGATGGTTGGACAAATAGTTCAAGTTTTGTTTCATCAGACCAAAGGACAGTTCTCCAAAAAGTCAGATCTTTGTACCCATGTGCAGCTACAAACTCTCTACAAACTCTTTTTATGGTGGTATTGGAGCAATGGCTTCTTCCTAGGGCTGCACGATAAATTGTTTTGTGAGCATAATTTAGATCCCTGGGCGATCTCAGTTTCATATGGCAATGATTCTGCCATGTTTGCATTAGCAGTAAGATCCCTTGCATCAAACTAAGCACTCCCTTTTCCTCGCTAAGCTGTGTTAATCAATATCCACAACTAATAACCGCAAAGTGATTTATTTCTGCCTCAACTGCCATTCAGCACTAGGTGTATGGGGCAGGCAGCATGACGGTTGACAAATAGTTGCAGTAGAGTACAGAATATCGTTCACCATGTCAGGCACGTTGGATTTGTTGCA